TATCATTCCGTTACCTCCAACAGTGAGAACCTCCGGTGTTGCTCTGATGAGCTCCTGCGCCATCAAAGGCCTGGCGCTGAGCTCGGCTGGAAGCCGGGTACGACTGCTGGAAGGAGTTATCGACGTTGACAAGAGGGGCTGTGTGAGGAGCTCCGCCGCTGCTCTGGTGAGAGCCTTCAAAGGTCTGGCCTGGAACCGGACCGGGGACTGGAGCCTGAGTGGGATGGCCTTGGCCCGCAAAGCCCTGATGATTTGGAAACAAGTCCATGCCAGCCGGGCCACCGTTGTCGTTCCCATGAGGATTGGCGGTAAACCAATCAATCCAGTTGTCGCCTGCTTGGTAGTTGCTGTCGGTGTGCGGGTTGTTGCCACCATGCTCGTGGTTCTCACCGTACCTTGACTCGCCATTGTCCGATGCTTCGCCGTTGTCGTCGTCGCCATACGAGTTGTCACCGTACTCGTGGTCGTCATCGTCCCTTGACGCGTGGTTGTCGCCATCCTCGTCATAGTCAGTGTCGTCGTAGCTCTCAGCGTCTTCGTTCTTGTCGCTATCGTTGTCACTGCCATTACTCTCCTCGTTGCTGTCGTCTTCACTCTCGCCATTGGTAGCATCCTCGCCGTACACGTTGTGTGCAACGTTGCTTCCGTTATTTACGCTCACATTGCTCGTGTTGGCGTTGTCCATGCTCATCTTGTTCACGCTGCCGTTGCTCATTGTAGCGGTCAGAATCTTCGCCTTTTTCGGCTCTGGTTGAGCAGCGTCGGGGCCCAATACATTCGACAGATTGCGCTTCTGGGGCATATGGTACAAGGCATTTATGTTACCATTCCTGTGCTGATTATGAGAATGACTCGATGAGCCTACGCCGGCAGGTCCGCCCTGGCCATTGGCATGATGATGAAAAACATGGCCCCGAACAGCAAAGAGCGAGGCCTGATCGGCAGGCTGGAGACGTGTTTGGTGGCCGGTATTTCCCTGGCCCTGGAGAACAAACGGCGATGAGCCGGCGCCACCTGCGCGACCAAGCTCATGGTTGACCATCGAAGAAATGAAAGCTCGCTCGTTGACGGAGAGACCTGAGGCGACATGTACTGGCTGCGCATTCGGTGCTATGGGTTCGTTGTCATCCTGAAGGATGTTGGCGGCATTGCCCTCGTCGTCGTGCTCGTCGTCAAAAATATGCTCATTGTTGCCACTGGGGTGATTGTCAAGATCAGGATTGTTGTCACCGTTAGGTTCGTTGTCGGCGTCAGATTGGTTGTTGGCGGGTGCCTGGACTCGCCGGCGATAAGCGCGCTTGGCCTTCGCATGCGGGAGGAGGTCGGCCGGGAAGAACTCCGCAATCCTTCGCTTCTGTGGGCGGGGAAGAACCACAAGGACTCTGCCATTGCCGTCCTTGACTTCGCAAGTGTTATGGTCAAACGACGCGGAACCATGCTTCTTGACCGCGTCGGCGATTCTGACGTTGTGCGCCTTGATCTGGTTGGTATGGAGGTTGGAGAGCTTTGTCTGTGGAAACGTCAGTACCTAAGTAATGGCAATCAGATAATGACGAGTGGAAAGGCTTTGTCTTACGTTCAGCTCGGTAACCGGGTTGTAGACAAACCTCTCAACGATGGAGGGCTGGAAAAGATTGGCAACGGCGGCTTTGCAGCACTACAAAGCAAGGTGTATGGTCAGCGTTGAACAATATATGGAAAAAAGCGATGAACTTACATCCATGACCGCAAGAAAGATCCTCATTCTGGTGGTGAAGTCCTTGAACACCGCCTTGATGATTCTGGTCTGGGCGTGGCTTGCAGAACGGCTTTCGCATGCCTCCATTTCGGCCTATTCAGCGCTAATGTTAGAAGAGTTTATCTGACCGAGTCTTGACAATAGGTCCACGTACCAGGATCTTCCAAGCCATGCGCTCCGCGTCCTTGTCTGTCAGTTCCTCCCGAACGAACCTGATATGGCCGTGGTTGTCGGCCGTCGAATCGCAGATATTCGACATGTTGCGGAAAGATGTAATCAGCTGGTCGACCCATACCATTCGTTCCTCGTTCGTCTTGGGAAGGTCGACAGGGGTAGCAGCACCGTTTTCTGGGGGATTCAGCGCCTCCTTCTCGAGTCTCCAGAAATCATCCATTGACTGGATGTAGCGTTTCCGCGGCGGGGGTTGGGGTTTGTCGGCCATTTTCTGTAACGCGAGTAAGTATATAATCAACAGAAAGCGTGTCCTACCTGGTAGACAATGAGCAAAAGCTGGGTCGTGTCGCAAAAGAATCGTTCGTGTGAGAGCATCGTGGAGGGATAGATCGGTTATGACATGGGGGAATATCGACGTTGACGCGCGCCAAACAAGAATCGAACCGGGCTGGGACGATGTCTGTTGAGTGCGCGGGGAGAGATACATACGATGCGATATGCAGGATTTGCAAGAGGATTTTGCTCTGTTGAACGAAAGGAGCGAATGCGATGTGCCTTTATAATAATTGTGAGAGCGACTTCGTGGTTCGAAAGTCTTTCAGTGATGTTTTGGGTGGACAACAAATTAAGGGCGGGAGCCATTTGAAGCGTCCGTTTGGAAGTAAATGGGAACAAGGATGTAAAGCGCGGTGCCAGGCGCATTGGCCTTTGACGTTCACTGGAAGGCGAAGGGTGTTGGCGACAAGGTTCATGAGCAACATTGGATGGAAGGCTGACGATGGGACAGGAGCATGGAATCAAGCAGCAAGTAATGGAACGCACTTCCAACAGACCACATTTGACAACCTACCATGGTCCTTGGGTCTCGGAGAAGGAGTTCCATACATAGGTCCCAAAGCTTGAAGTAATTCGAAGCGAATCTGGGAGGATATAGTGAGTCTGATATGGATGATCTGTCATCGACAGTTGTTCTTGTAAAAGGGACAGAACCTTATACCTTCAAGACAACAGCACAACTCTGGTGGATGATGGAATAAAACTCAAAGCTGTCACTGACAGGTGATACTACTAATATGGATTATACACTGAGACAAATAAAGATAGAAGGAGAAGATTATTCGCTGTCGCCATGTGAATATCCCACTGGGATACGGCGAGTGCAACTATCAACGAAATGTAAACGCGATAGTACAAAAACAATAACAGAACCTGGGCGACTTGCAACAGGGAAAAAACGCCTTTGACTCCTCGCTGAAAAGCAAACTCATGTCGAGTTCCATCCCTTCATGCATGTAAGAAGCCATTCGAAGACCATACTAGCCCGGCCAGTTGCGGATGGATGCAACTCGCATCTTCTTCCACCTCGTCTCCTCGAATCTCTTTGCCCGTCGCGCCTGTTCCCCAGACAGAAGCCTTCACTCAACCTCCTCCGGACGCAGTCGCCTCCCCCCCCCCCCCCCCCCCCCCAAGTCGGAACCGGCACTGTTCTGGACGAGGTTACCGTCCTGATTGACCATTGCACCTCCAGATTGTCCAGAACCTGTGGGAGTGTAGCTGTTGATGTCGGTGGAATACTCCTCCAGCATGGGATCGACAGGGGGGGTCAAAGTGATACTTGCTGAACTTCCAGGCCCTGCTTGCAACGAAGCCCAGCCGGGGTCGGCCTCAAATTGATTAGGAGGTGCAGACTGGTTTGGAATGGGGTAAAACTCCTCTTGATAAGGCGTAAAAGACAGGGGGGGTTGGACATCTCCGGCATTGCTCTGGTCGATGTTGTTCTGGGCGACGTTCGGACCGGTGTTGTTGAGCCTGGTGTTATCCAGGTAGGCGTTATCCATGTTGTGGATGTAGCCATTGACCACGTAGCCGTTGTCCATGCCGGTATTGTTCATGCCGCCATAGTTCGCGTACTTCTGGTATGAACTGCTCTGGTCGGCACTTGGAGAGCTATGCTCGGGATTGATACTTTCGGTGCGAGGATGGTCATCGTGATTCTTGCCATCGTTGCTCTGACCCGCTTTAAGATGCTGATCGTTCGCATGAAAGTCATCGAGAATGGTATCGGCTGGGCTTGCCTGAACAGCGGAAGCTTCGATAGGCTCATCATCCTCCTGAATGGCGGGAAGAGTATTGGCAGCGGCGATGTTCTGCAAAGGCGATCCTCCATTGGCAGGAGTAACGAACGAAGCTACCGGGGTTGGGGACGCACCCGCGCCTCTGCGGCTTCCTCTGGCCCGCTTGACCTTCGCGGCTGGGGACCGAGCTAGGTCCGGGGGAAGAAACTCGCTCAGGACGCGCTTCCTCGGCTTCATGAGGATCTTAATGAGCTCACCGGAAGCATCTCTGATCTCAGCGCGGTTGTCGAACTTCGTGACAGTGCGGCTGTTCTTCTCCGCGCCTTTGACTTCGCCGTTGTAAGCTTTGCTCGCGTTCGTGTTGTTGTTTGACAGTTTGTTCTATAACAAGTGCGCGTTAGCGGTGATCTTTGAAGCAGTGCCAGTTGGGCCTGTACTTACATCCAACTCCATGATAGGGTTGGCGATAAAGCGGTCGAACAAAGGGACGGCGAAGAACTGGGTTGCTGCAGCCTTGCTGGACTATACTCTGGTGTCAGCATAATACAATGTCACAGGTGGAGCAAGGGAAAGGATGATCTTACGCGAACAAGGGCGCAAGTTGCCCGAAACCTGCTCATGTAGTTCGGGAAGGTGACCGTAAGAAGGTCGGGGTGGTGGAGGCCACGCTGGACATCTCTGATCTTGAACTGTAAAAGAATGCGCGTCAGTACTAATTGCACAGGGTGGCAAGACGTCAAGCGTGTTACTGACCATAGCCCTCCAGGCTATCTTTTCCTTTTTGTCGCCAGGAAGTTCGCGAATCGCCTTCTGGTCCGAATTGTCATTGTCAATGACGCCATCGGTGTTGTCTATAGCCTCAATCATCTGGTCGACTAGTACGAGCTGCCCATTGTCATCATCGGGGAAGTCATCACAGTTCCCGGCGTTTGCGCCGTTAAGGGCCGCTGCCCTCTCCGCTGCCCTCTCTGCTGCCTCTCGCTGAAAGAAGTCTGCAGCGTTACGGATGATGCTCTTTTTTGTTGTTGTTGTTATTTTTAACGTCTACTTCCGCCTCCCGTAGGGCATGAGACGTGCCGCACCGGTGAGTCTAGCATACAAAACTTAGAGCAGTGCCCTAATTGTCCACCAAAACCATTAATCCGAGGGCAAACCGAGGCCTACTGCCAATGTAAATCATGTGTTGCCCATAGCGTAAACGCGGCCCAACACTTATAATCGAATCGCCCAGTGGGCATGCACTGGCATGACTGTCCGGGGCAGCGGGGTATTGGTCCTGATGATCGTTCGGAAGTTGTTCGTTCAGCAATGGTTGTTGACCGGGTGCTACGTACTGCTCGGGAGATAGGCGATGGTCGGGGCTCGGTTCGGCAGTGGCCAAGCCCTTTGAGGTGAGAGAAACATTGGACTGGGTGTCTTCCAGTTCAGGGTCGACATCATCGTAGTCGATCTTGAGAGATGCTGAATCCTCATCGCTCCGAATGTTTGGTTGCTGTAGAGCGTCCAAATGGGGATGCTGATCGATGAGGAATTCCTCCTGAAGACCAAGGTTGTCGTCAGAGGCGTGTTCGTTGTCGGCTTGTGGCTTATCTGCATCCCAACCGCCATCGTCGGTACAATCGCCACGGTCGGCAAGCTCCTCCTCGTAGTCAGGCTCCTCCTCGCAGTCAGGCTCCTCCTGGTCGGCAGCCTCGTCTTCATTATCAGACTCCTCTTGAATGGTGGCCAAAAACACCACCAGTTGCGCCATTGACAGGCGATGACGCTGCCGCATTGGTGCTGCTGGGAGAGTTGACAGTCGTAGCTCCGGATGTAGCAGAGGATCCAGTAGTTCTTCTCTGTCGCTTGACCCTTGCGTAGGCGGCGAGGTCATCGTCCAAGAAGTCCGTGAGAGGGCGCTTTGTAGGCCGGGTGAGCGTCGCGACGACCTCACCTGTAGACTTCCTAACATAAGTCACATTGCCGACGGTCTCATAAGAGCCACCGAACTTGGAAACTTGGTCAAGGAACTTGCAATACTCCTTCAACTTGTTTGTGTGATTGTTCGACACCTTGATCTAAAGGCGACGAGGTGAACAAATTAGCGAAAGGCCGATCGTGGTGACAAGGGTTTGGGTTTAGTGTGACTTACCTCCAACTCGCGGACCGGGTTGCAAGTGTACCTCCAGATCATAGGAAGGGTGAACAAGTCGCAGCAAGCCGCTTTGGAGCTCTGGGCAGCCATATCAGCATTGAATCTCGACACGCAAGTGGAAGGCGCTTACCCGAAAGGTGCATAGAGACAACCTCAATCTGGTCATGTAGTTCGGAATCTCTGCGGAGAAAGCCTTCGGATGGATGATGCCTCGTTGTACGTTGTAATTGAACCACTGAGAAAGCGAGCTGTGAGTATAGGCCATGGCCGGGGCGGTATGATTCATAGTGGCTTGGTTACTCACCATGACTTCCCAAGCCTTTCTAACTAGCTTCGCTCTCGGCAGACTGTGGATGAACTTGACTTCGGAGTTCTCCATGGAATTGTTGCAATAGTTATCGACAATGTCGACGGTGTTCAACATTGCTTTGATGAGTCGCTCGACAAGCGCACGTTGCTCGGCCGGATTGGTTGGGAAATCGTCGGCGGTGGTGTCGCCGTTAGCAGCCACAGCAGCCTCTGCCGCTGCCTCTTCCGCAGCTAGAATTTCCAGAAATTGGTGCAGGCTGGTGGGCTCCTCACTCAGCTGCTGCGGAGATTTGGACAGGTTCGGGGGATCCATGGTCTATAAGAAGTCCGAGTGAATAGTGAGAAAACTATTTCTCCAATGTATCCGACAATAGCACGATCATCGCGTTAGAAGGGAGTCGCCATTGCTGGAGATCATCCAGGAAGAAAAGGACAATGTTGGTAGTAATTTGCGACGCGAGCTCAGGTGTCGAGAGCAGTTGAGAATCGGCGGAGCCAAAGGCCATGTTTGCGACGGGAGTTGGATGCTACGACTTACGAGGAGTTGGAGTAGAAAATAGGTAGAGAATGTGTTGGCCTGCTTTGTAGCAGCAAAAAGACAATGGGCAATGCGAGCCACGGAGGCGGGTGATGATTCGTGTCGGTGGTTGCGTTCTGCGAATGCAATGGTGGTTGACAAACAGACGTGATGTTGGCGGGGAAAAAACATCAAGTCAAAAGAGGCCTTGTGGGACAGGAAGAGGAGCCGGTTTTGGAAGGCCTGGTCGCTAGTGCTTGCCGGATGGGCCACTTTGAACTGGAAAGGTGACGGCAACTGCCAGCTGGCAGCGAGGACATTAACAACATCAGACGGAAGTTACGCGACAAGGCGGGGAAAGGAAAGTTGAGAAGGATCAATTCAGGGGCGGATTGGGTTCCAGCTTCTTGGAGTTCTACCAGTCGAGGAAAACATGACTAAAAGTAACAGGAACAATGAACCATAAGAAGCGTAAGGGTTCAGAAAAGAGGACAGCACGCAGCGTGGATGGAGATGCTGCGACTGCTATTCCATTATCCTAGTGATGGGCAGTAATCGCTAATGGTTTGGGGAAAACGCTGTCTTGGTAACTAACTCCCAATCGTCTGCCTCATATGGATACTTGTCCATCAAAGCTGACTCTATTGGTTTGCCCGGGAAGAAAACAACGCAAGCGAACGAGTCGAACGCTGGAGTGAGACAAGACTGCTTGCATACAAATATAAGGTTTCGGGACCGTAAAAAAAAAGAAAGGAAACAAGAAAACACCAAAAACAGCTAAAACAACAGGTCACCGTGCATCTCGCACCAGACGAGAAGCACCTCACGCCGCGCTGAAGGAAGCAAAACCCTTCTCGGGTTCCAGTTATAACTGCAAAAGTCATTTCGAAGAGGCGTGTTTGCCACCATAGCTGCAGTTGGAGCCGCTACCGAAGCCGTGGCTTGTTAACGCGAACAATGCGTCCGCAAAACACTGAAGCGCTTGCCTTGCAGTGACCTATTCTGTCCCTTTACAGTCCATCCCACACGAGATCAGCTCCATTCGGATTGGGAGCATTGTTGAGAGCTCCCTCGCCCAAGTCAGCGTCACTGTCGTGACGTCGTCATAGCCTCCCAGAAGCTCATCAAGAAGGTCCGGAATCGGTTCGTAGCTTGGCAGAGCCGGGTGCTCGTTGGATTAGTGCTGCACCAACTGTTCACCGACCAACGCATGTTGGTGACAGTCCGGTGTAAAATAGTTATCGCTGCCGTATGCCTGTTGGTTGAATCGCGGACTCTGGTCCGGCGTGTATTGGTTGTTGCTGTGGGAAAGTCCGCTGACCAAGAGATCCTGCTCAGTGGTAGGAAACTGGTTGGAGAAGACAGACTGTCCGCCCGGCAGTAGATTCTGGTCGGCCGTGGGGTGCTGATTGTTGACGGCGTACTAATCGTCACGGGAGACATTGTGGCCTGGTGTCGGGCACTGACCCGTATGGTTGGACTTTTGCCGAGTGGCAGATGCTGGCTGGTCGTATTATGCGAGATGTTGAGGTTAGATTGTTCGTCGAGCAGCTGAGTCTCGTCGGGTGTAGGATACTGATGGCTGCCGTAAGCTTGCTCATTGCATGGTGAATGCTGGTAGGCCTTGGGGTGCTGGCTGGAAAAGTTAGGCTGTCAGTCGAATAATAGATTCGGTCGGGAGGGGGATATTGAGAGTTGAAATGGGAGTTGACGGCGTTGCAACTTGGCGTGCTAAGCCGATTCGTGACGTGAAAGGCCTCCCCCGCGTTCTCATTTTTCTCACTGGCTTCGTCCAAATGACCCTCTTCCTGTCCCTGACTGGCAGCCACAACATTCTCGTCTTCCTCTTGAATGGGCGTCAAAAAGCCACCAGCCGCGCCCACCGGCGATTCCGAGTTGCTGCTGTTGCCCGAGGTCGGTCCAGATGTCGTCCTCGTCTTGTCGCGCTTCGGTTTTGCAATAGCAGCCAAGCGGTTGCCCAACAACTCGCTCAGCGGGCGCTTCTCGGGACGGCAAAATTGCTTGACCAGATTTCCAGCGACGTCGTAAATCCTGGTGATTCCGTTCTCAGTGATCGTTCTGCCACTGAACCTGGCCGCGGCCTTGACGTCCTTGTTAAAATTGCGGAGCTTGTTGGTATGATTGCTCGAGAGCTTGGTCCTTGGACGACGAAAGTCAGCTGTCTGTCGCATAGCCTTCGCAGGATCGAGGTGATCGGGATGGAGTTGTCTGAACTTACATCAAGCTCTGTAACAGGGTTGTGCACACACCGATCCATGTAGGACTCCGCAATGAGATCCGCTACAGCGGCCTTGGAGTGCTAGAAACGGCGTTAGTAATTCAAGTCTACAGCAATGAAGCCCACAGGAGAATACGTACACGCATTAAGGCTAGCAAGGCCTCAAAGCGGTCCATGTAGTTGGGAAAGTATGCCGTTAAGAGTTTGGGGATGCGTTTGCCTCTCCGGACGTCGTAAGTATCAGTACTGTGCATTGCGGGAGTAGTCAGTCACGGAGGTGCAGTCTCTACATACGTCGAGCTCCGTGGCAGGGTTGTTGACAAGGCAATCAATGTGAGGGGCAGTGAACAAGTCGTATACCGCCGCCTTTGAAGTCTCTCTC